GTACCTTGAAAATCTAGTACCTCTTTCCCGCCTGTGGGACAAGAGGCATCTGTAATCATAAACTTATAGTGAATTTCTACAACTGGGCCAGACCCCGTGGTTTTTTCCTTTTACGGGTTTTCCACGTAAAAACTTCTGGTGTGATCACAACTCGATTCATTTTTATCTAAGTGTGTGCTGAATTCTCGTGCAACGCTAAGACCATAATCCATTACTCTACCGCCGCGAATTTTCTAGCACGCATCAACGTTGATCCTTACTTGGACCATACGTCAATCCCAATGACCACGAGTTCAATGAACTAGTTTGAGGTGCACATTTTGATTTATGGGAAAGTGGCATATGGCACTTAAGCAGTCGAAGTCGGTTTGGCAGGTTAATTTGACGAGATAGGTGACAAATCATTCAAATCACATTCTCAGTGGGTTTGTTGGGTAGAAGAATGTGTGGGTCGCACCTGACAATGGGGAGTGAATCATGTGATTTTTCATAGGCTCATTAGTTGGGGAATGGGCTATCAGGGCACATATTAATGCACATTAGTTTCTCAATTCTCTTGTTCCTTCGACAGTCAACTGAAAGAAAAGTAATAAAATGAAAGTTATCGAAATTTTGTACCACTCAATCTTAGCATGCTGTTGTATGGGCACATGATTGATGGGATGATTGATAATTCCCTGCAAGTTATGCTCATGGCTTGATCCTATGTTGGGCAAGGCGCAATGTAAAATAAACATACAACTTTTATTTTTTATTTGGATCGAAATATAATAAAAATAATGTGCCTCGAGGTGTTGTATAAATTATTGACACAGGGGTTGCGGGTGACAGCAGCGGCGTCCGGCTGGCAACGGGCTGCGAAGGTGGCAATCGACGACTGCAGGCAGCAGATGTGGCAGTTGGTGGAGGTGACCGACGATTGAAGCGCGGATGTGACAACCAGCAGTGGAGGTGGTTGACAGTAGTAGTTGATGGCTAGCGGTGACTAACGATGTGGCCGAGGTGGCTCGCAGCGGGGCGATGACAGCGATCAGTGGCCAGGAAGGCGGCTGATGGTGGAGGTGGCCAACGACAACCAATCATGCAGCTGACAAAGGTTGCTGACAAAAATTCATTCTAAATTCATTCATATTTCTTCCTTGAGGGCATCGGCAATATGTCATTAAGAGTTCATGTGCTGGTGATTAAAATATATGATCAGTGCAATAATTTAACTTGAATTAAATATTTAAGTTAAATTTATGTCCCCACTGCTCTCTAGTATGGTGGATTTGTATTTTCATTTTTACCTCTAGCAAGGCGTAATGTCATTTACAAACTTACCTCTTAATTCTTGTATATTTACATATCGGTAAACTTAAATTATTACATTCATACCACCCAAATCTTTCCTATCACATCAAAAAATCATAATTCTAACTATTTAAAAGTTAAATAAGCTATTTCATGCACAACGAAGATGGCTTATATGTAAAAAATTAAAATTTATGTGTTAGCTATATTGTTCTGGTATGACTCATATATTATATATGGATAGACGCTGGATCGCAGCGGAACGGTGCGGAACGGAATAATCTGTCCAAATTGGGAAGTTACGTGGGTTGGGATTGGTACATGGGTAATGATGTAATTACATATTGTGCTTAGGGTTTACTCATGGAATTATAAATAGGCCTGATAGTAACCTCAAGAGGTATCTTTTATTCTGTAATCTCCTTTCTGAATAGTGAAAGAAACTCGCCGCTCTGCTCCCGAGGACGTAGGCATCTTTGCCGAACCTCGTTAAATCTCTGTGTTATTTTGGATTTGTGTCCATTACTGTTTTCTTCGCCCTAATTTTCTCAACATATGTACATGCCAAAGAATTGAGTGGTGTGTACGTAAATCTTCCTATATTTTGTTTGTCTAATATACGAGCATCCGATCGAATCATCCAGAAGAGTCTCACAATGATAGCAAAAATGACTCCCTTTAATGTGCTGTGTACTTTGATGGCATTTTAGTTTATAATTGCAATGTCGAAGAGCATGCCCACCACCTTAAAATTTTATTTACAGACATAAAGGATAACAAATTATACATTAAATTATACAAATTATAAGAGGACTGGCTAATAATACAAATTTTGGTCAAATCTGAGTCAAATCAAGCCCATATGAAATTGTTAAATTGCTTTCAAAGCTTGTGGTACATAATTGGAAAACCAAACAAACTTCAAGCTAGACATGCTTATAGTCAAATCAAATGCCTTGGAGAGATGAATTCTATGAGTTCAAGATTGCGCAATTCTAACATCAGTAAGACGCTCAAGTGTTTACCAAACGCAGTCCTGTCGAGGTATCTCTCAGTGTTGTCTAATAGAGTGTTATGAATTTCTTTCTTATTTGTTGAGAGACCTCTCACAGACTCTATAAATAAAGTCATGCCCTTCCCACTATTGAGGGAATACCTAGACCTTGGGTCAGAATAAGCCTGAATCTTGAAAAATGAGCTAAAGTTTGGCATCATTTAGCATTGAAACTATGACACTTTTCGCTCCTGCAATCGCCAATCACTATCCACCACCACCAGCTAACTACCATCTGCTCAATGCAACAAACCTTTGTGTGGAGTCAAGACTTGCATTGTGGAGCGACAGAGAAACAACCAATGCCTCAGAGTCACTAAGTAATCTAAAAAATAGTGTATCATCACAAACATTGTCTCAACATCGAAGATGATGTGATGAAGTTTCAACAAAGCTCTATGTGGAGTCAAGACTTGTATTGTGGACCGACCGACAGAGCAATAACCAATGCCTCAGAGTTACTTAGTAATCAAAAAAACAGTATATCATCACAAACATTGTCTCAACCTCGAAGATGATGTGATGAAGTTTCAGCAATTACACCCCCCCCCCCCCCCCACAATTCCCCCCCCCCCCCACACACACACATCCAACACACACACACATAGTGATCACTCCTTATCATGGGCCAACAAGCTCTTCTGCGCTAAAAAACTATGTAGCCCTTTCTCGCCCTTGGGACATGTCGTCAACTCATAGTGAAACATTTAATCTGAGCTAGACATCAAATTTCTTTTTCCTTCTTCAATTTTTCCACATAAAAATATACGGTGGTTTTATTTGCTTTTTTATTACGAGCATGTATGATGCGGTCTCGTGCAATACTAAGATCATACTTTATTACACCACCATTACAAATTCTTTAGCGCGCACCAGTTATTAGTACATAAGGTATTCAAACTGACCCAAAGAAGGTTGAAACAATCCATTTGTGGTCCCCTCAAACTTCTGGTGCATTTGTTTCATCTATGACTTTAGAAAAGCTAATTTGAGAAGCTATTGTTGAAAAACTATTGTTTAGAAGCTTTTTAGAAGCAGTTCATTCGTTTGCTAGAAGCGTTGTCTGTAGACAGAATGACTGTAACGCTCTCCATATAGAAACACAATTTGGTTTAAACTGTTGGGAAAACAAAGTTTTAAAAGGTCTTCCTTCTCAGTCAATCAAATGATAAATTTTTATGTTATTTTTCGAACTTAATGCTATAAGAGAAGTCAAGACAAACAATAACCCAATTTTTTCTCGTCAAAATAATCATATAAATATTAGTTTAACATAAATTGCATCCAATCCAAATAGACGAGTTTACCTACCAAGAAACACCTAAATTAGCACAGTTTGGTCTTTAAATTACATTATCGTCACTCACCAAAACAAAAACAACACCAACAACTATAAAAGCACGATTACAAAATAAAATATGAACAAGTTTTTCATAAGAAATTTCAGCTCTTTAAGATCATTCTTAATCGTGTCTTTAGATCTATTTTTGCATCATTTTGCTCCAGTGTTACATACTTAGATTCGTAAGCTCATTGAAAAAACTTTTAGTCTCTATTTGTGTGATTTTAGGGATGTTCATAAAACTTGTGGCCAATATTATCGCCTTTCTGTGAGGTGAACGCAGCACATAAAAGACTGCAATCACAATATACGGCTCGGTGTTTGGTCCACTTGGACCTTGATGAATTGATTGCGCTCATTTTGATTATGTAATCGTGCAAAATATTGACATGCACATTAATTTTTCTAAGAAATACCAAGCACTAGTAAGTAGCAAACCAAACTCTTAAAGTTGAAGGCAAAGCAATACTTGTTGAGCAAAACCTCTACTTTTTGTAGTCCATCACAAGCTCGACGAGATATCAAATCTCATGATTTAGAGTAAACACATGGAGATAAATAATATTTCATTAGAAGAAAGCAATAAACCTATAATGTAGGTGCTCTTGTTTGTCAGAAGCACTTAAGAACCCCTCATATCAAATTACTCATCACAACCTTTTTAAAACTAACCACCTGAATAAAGAGACACTTATCAAACAAAAAAAAAAAAAAAACGCAAGCTGCCATAGTCACTTAGTGTTTGACACATAAACGCATAATAATATCAAAATAACAATGAGCTCAATGCACACCTAATGAAATAGGCATTAAAATACATTCCAAAATTGTAGATATTTTAGCACGAATAACATTTATAAGTAAGATTGAATTTTAATGCAATGACTGTATAACATCATAGCTCAAATGCGCACGCGCGCGCGCGCCTACACACACACAGATACATATATATATATATATATTTATATATATATATCAAATAACTTAATCATTGGTGCGGCCTCTGACATAAGTCCCTCGGATAGAGATTCGAATCTCATGGTGCGGGTTCTTCGAATCAGAAACAAGCACACCAGAGTTTTCAACCCTTTTGGAGAATTGATATTTGATGCACCTACTGGACAAATATCAATTTCATTATATATATAATCCTAACAATTTTTTTAGTCATAATATATTTTAAATTTATTCAAATTTCTATGACATGAGAGCGATATAAATGATAATTAATTTTTAAAATATTATACTCATTCCAAAACAAATCTAATAATTTTGAAAATTCATCATGACTAAAAATTAATCAGATTTCAATCCATCCAACAAAATTACATATACAACCCTAAAAGGCTATTAAGATGTAAGACAAAGTAAAAAAATCACAAAATAAAATAAAATTTAAAACAAAAAATAAAATAAAATAATATTCTGATGGCAGTGAAAGGCTCCGTTTTGGGCAGCTCATAAGCGTAGACGGCGTTCTGAAAACGCCGCCGTACCGTTTGGTTCGCGCGTTTCGTCAGCCTATCCGAAATTGTGTTTGAGCTTTTACACTAAATGCAGGCCGCAGGTCGACCCTTGCGGCCGGCCCGCGGGCCGCGTTTCAGGAGAAACAGCTTATCCTAAAACGCACAAGCTGCCCCAAACGGACCCAAAGTCTTAAGCCGTCATTGTCAGCGCCATGTGAGCCGCTCCGGCCACGGCTTCCTTGAAAGTTCTCTCGTCCCAAGTGGAGCCCTGAAATAAATAAATAAATAATTATTTATTTATTTTGCAGCCAGAATAAAACAAGCAAAAACGTAAATATTTAAATGTCATCTTGCAAATAGATACTAATTTTCTCTCTCTACGAATGAAAAAAATAATTAAGAAAAATGATATTCTGATTAATTTAGAATAAAAAATAATATATATATTTTTTAAATTTTAATTCACCTAATTCTGTTGTGCCCTATGAACATGCCAATATATAAGTTCACGGAAAATTCAAAATGTTTTGGAAGATTTACATACATACCAACACTTTTTATGTATTTTCATGCCTACACTTCAAACTTCTATTTTCTTACATACATACCACCTTACCTGTGCACAAAAAGATTTATTCTATTTTTTAAAATTTTAAATGGTGATTTTCTTATGTGATATAAATGTACAAAATAAAATTTAGATTTAGGGCCCGTTTGGGGCAGCTTATTTGGGTGTGTCGCCGCACTGTTTGGAAATCGCATTTGGCGGACGTTTTCAAAATGCCTCGAAGCGTGGTCTTCTATTTATCATATGGAGTTGCATGCGGGGATCCAGATGCGTTTGAATTTCTCCCGTGCCCTTGGGTGATCTCTCTCGCGATCTCCCTCACCGATCTTCTCTCTCGTGAACCTCGATTTGATCGTTCTCTGGTGAGATCTATATGCTGCTATGCTTTCTAGTTGGTTTTATGGCTCGATCTTCTCATCGCGAACATCGATTCGATTGTCTTTCTCATTTCTTTGCAAGATTCGGTTGATGGTTTAGGGTTTTCTTGAATGCCTTTGCTAGATTATTTTGGAATGCATTGAATGCATTGGATCTGTGACAGACGTAGCTAGTGTTTGAAATTGAATATTTTAATATTTCTCATTTTAGTTGTACTTGTGCTTATCCTTCTTTTATTTTTCCCAATACTCAAGAGAGTGTGAGAACTGTATGTCATCTTTCGGAACTGATTTGTGATGATTTTATGCTTCTGCACTATATGTTTATGTACTACCAATAAATTGTTCTAAAAAAACTGTCCCAAACAGTTTTACCAGACAGTGGCAGGAATGTCATTTATGCAGCATAACTACCAATAAGCTATTATGAATAAGCTGCCCCAAACAACAAGTCAGCTTACTCTATTAATTTGCTTATCAGCAGATTATAAATAATCAACAGTTGTCTCAAACCGACCCTTATACATTGATATAACTTAGGTGTTATGTATGTATTTAAATACCTTTAGAATTTAATAAAATATAAAAAAATTACACATATACTCATAAATTTTATGTATATAACAATTTAATTTCATAATTACATTAGAAATTATAAATGTTAGAAATATAAATACATAGGAAAATTAAATTTATATGTATATATATAAATCCTTTGCCCCCCAACAAATTATTAGTTCAACTGCACATTATATATTTATATCAAATTCTTTCAATTATATTGTCTGACTATGGCAATATATTAAAGCGATTTTAAAGATTATTTTTATTTATGGTTTTCTATTTTTCTATTCTTTTTTTATTTTATTTATATTTCTATTTGAATCAAAATATATTTATCATGTTTTAAATAAAATAAAAATGCATGAAAAATACACCAAAAATTAGATATAAAAAACAAAGAAATGATCAATGTATATTTTTTTATTTTCTAATTTTAATTTTATTTTTTATATTATTTATATTTTATTTTGAAACAAACTATGTTTAATTTCTAAAAACATTTAAAAAACTAAAAAATAAATTTTGAGTATTTTAAAAATACGTTAATCTAATTAAAAAAATTAAAATTTAAAACACATTAAATAGATCCCGGCGATGCTATAAGATTTTCTTGAGACGTGCAAATTAAGTTAAGAAGATTTAGAAATATACCGCCCAACTCTTTTGTATTTATACATCAGGCGCACATTTTCTGTCCAGACAACTGACGTAACTCTACGTGCGGTGCAGGTTATTCCTGAGTTATTTTCAAGTTATTTATGAATTATTTTCAATAATCTCGAAATAACCCAAAAATAACCCAAAAATAAAGACAGCGGGTTGTTTCTGAGTTTGACTATGAGTTTGTTGAACAACAAATGAGTTTGTTGAACAACAAATGAGTTTGTTCGTGAACATAAATGAATAAGTTTGACTATGTTCATGTTTAATTAATTTAAACTTCAATCTTTTAAAAATTGTTTAAGCTTGTTTATTTATTAGTTCGAACAAACACGATTGAGTCTTAAACAAGTTGTTCATCTAGTGCATTGGTTCATTTACAACCCTACCCGTCTCGTACATGAAAATTTGTATTTCAACTTTTAGAGTTAAAATGATGATATTTTTTTATGTGATATGACTGATTCGAGTGATATAAATGTAATGACTAAAGTTTAGGTCCTAGACATATAAATACTAAAAAATTGTGGTAAATAGATACAAACATTACCACACGAAAAAAATAGTTACGGTTATATTTATCGTTACAATCTAAACAGTTATAAGGTGTTGATAACTAAATCTACGGTTACAAGCTGTCGGTTATAAATTTGACTATGTTCGTGTTTAACTTATAAAATCATCAAAAAAATAAGCTAAATTCTTGTAGTGCTACATATACGTGAGCGAAAAGGCTCTAGAAGTTTAAGAACTGATACCTGGATGGCAAGTCTGAGAGTGGCTAAAAGCTTCAGCTGCTGCGAGTTATGAACGGCATCAAAAGACAGCAAGCTGATGGCTTCCATGGCTTTGATGCTTTCTAGAACTTGAAGAAGAACTCTTATCAAATCACACTGAACCGATCTCACCATTATCACGAGCTCTATCTGCTGAATCTCTCCTGATAATGTTTCAGAAGATTTGCTGATCCGAACTCTCACGTTCTCATTTTGTTTCATTGATTTCTCATTAAATTCTGTGTTGGTGAAGATATTTTCCTCAACGGTTCTGTTGTTCCCCTCCAGCTCGTAGATCTCATCCTTCAATGTTTTTATGTAGCTTACGGTGTTGCAGAGCACTGATGTCTTGTCTTTCTGTCATAGATGATTGGGGGTAATTATATGCAGATCATCTGAAATATTGATATTTACAGATTAAATATTTAGGTGATTTTATTTAGGCTGTAAAATCGATGTATTTGTGTGTATCACGATCGAATTATTGAGAATTTGATAAAAATAAAAAGTATGGGTTGGGGTTTTACCATGAATTTTGGATTTGAGGGACGATTTGAAAAATGGATGAATAAGGGTGGGGTTGATTTGTAAATATCAAGTTTCGGGTGGACTTCATTTGAATAATAATATGTCATGAGTCTTATCTAGTATATATGTAAAGAAAAATGTTACATCAGAAGTCGTAATGCAAAACTGTATTAGGACTCAAATCACAATGCACAACATGTACAGTCAAACCCATTTGAATACGAAAAACTAAATAGTTTAATGCATGGTGGGGTCGCATCATACACTTTGTGTATTGTGATTGGAATCCCGATGTAATATATTTTAATATCTAAAACACAAACTTTGATTTTGACACTTATAATACTGGTTTGGTGTCATAAATGTATGCATGAAAAGATGTATTTCAATTTAAAAATAATAATAATTGTGGTATTTTTTTTTTATATAATGTTAAGAATTTGAATGGTATGCATATAAATACGAAAGTTTAGATGTTAGATATATACTAATACATAAGAATTTTGTGGCATGTAAATACCCTTTTTTATGTTTTGCTGGGTCACAAAAATTAAAATTTGCATGTGATCATAAATTCAAATTTCTTATCAGACATTTTTGGAGTTTATAAAAAATTTAACTATGTCTTAGAACATGTTATGTATTTACAAGAAATCACTTGTATAATATACAGATTGATTGGTGTTACATATACACATACTCCTTTCCGTGCTTAATAATTTTTTTAAAATCTAAGTTATTCTACATACCTTGGAAACAGGAGGAAGCAATTGCCAAAGAGAATGAAAGCTCGCATTCAATCTCTCCCGACGCCTTCTCTCTGATACCATATGTTGCATTTGATAAGCACTTGGTTGTGTTTCTTCCACTTTCCCTTTATCTTTCAACATGTTAACATTTCTCAACATATTATGACTCTTCTTTATCATATTCTGACTATGAAAATTCTTATGACTCTCCATTAATGGAGGCTTTGAAGAGCTGTAAGGTTGGAAGGAGCTCATTGATGGGTAATAATTTGCCTGCTTTTGAGATGTTTGAGCCCTCTGATATGTTGTTGCAGATGATGATGATGACGGTGTTGAAGAAGAAGAGATGACAGATACCATAGCTCTTGTGAGTGCCATGTCTTCCATTGTAGATAATAAAAAAGAGTGTTGATTCGCCATTGATGTCGGCAACATGGACTGATCAGTCACCATATAATTTGAAGAGCTTGAATCAAAATAACAACTCTTGTTGCTCGAAAAATGAGATGGTTCGTTGGAAATTTGAAATTGCGACTGATAGATCAAGTTTGATTGATTAATACTCCCAATTTGAGATTGTTGAAAAATATCACCAGGGACTTGTCCGGTTGAATCCATCGAGTCCATGAGCATATTGAGCTGATCACAACAAACATCATAACATTACATTATGGAATTTAGTTTTTATCCCCAAAAAAATGTATGTTTTTTCTAATGATTTTATTGTATTTCTGACTGATATAATCCTTTTTTCTTTTACGTCTTTATGTTACATTCAAGACATTCAAAATTACAAAAACTCTAAAATAAAATTATAGTAAAATCTACAATGTGATAACATACAAATTTATGTGTCAATCTAATTATCTTTATGTTATATTATTATTATTATTTCCTTAGCTATAAAAAATGGATCAGATGTGACCTTATATATCAACAGAGCAAAAAACAAGTTAATTAATAGGTGCACCCCCAAATTTTCATTTATTTACAAATCAGACACTTAAACATTACTTTTTAGATTCAAACCATCTAAATCTTTCATATCACATCATAAATATCATTATATTAACTATAAGAAAATGAAATGCACTTTTATATATAAATATGATGACATACATGTAAACATTTAAGTGTAGTTGTCAAATATGCAAATAGGTAAGAATTTAGTGATATGTCACTAAATGTTCCTAAGTATAAATAATTGGGATAATTACATACAGAACCACCCGAAACATTGATATTTATAAACTTACCACTCACATGATTTTTTAAACTATCAAACTAATATATTTATGTGTGTCATTATCAAACTATTATGACTTTTATAAAAATGAAAAATATGGATCGGAGTTTTACCATGAATTTTGATAGTTGAGTGAGAAATTGCAAAATAGATGATAGAGGCTGCTTCATTTGCAAAGAGCAAGTTTTGGGTGGTATTTATGTAAATTATATAATTGTCACAAAAACAGAGAAAGATTAAGCAAATTACCTCGTTAATCTGCTCCTGAATCTGCACTGCAGATGAGTTCAGAATATTTGTATCACCTAATTCAACTCGATCAACTGCTTCATCATGAGAAATCCCAGCAACATAGCTGCATATAACCAGACAAGAAAATCAAATCTAAAATCTCAAGCCTGAATCTGTAAAATCAAAATGTTAATTTGTAAATAATAGAAAAAAAAGGCAAATTTGATAAAATACTTGTCTTCCAAGCTAGAGAAAGAGCTCCAGTATCCACCAAATGGCTTCCGAGGAAGGCTCCCGGAGGAGGAACTTGAATGGTTGTTGTCATCTTCAAAGCACCAGACATCCATGGAAACTTGATCCATAAGTTGCAGAAGAAGAAGAAGAAGAAGAAGAAGAAGAAGAGAAGTTCTGTGCTTTGATTCAGAACTTGAAGAAGGAAGCCATGGAAGAGGAGGGAGTGTGAGAAAGGGGAGAGTTTGCACGACGCTTTGAGGAAGGAGAGGAAGAAGAAGGTGGAAGGTAGCTGCGGGAGGAAACTGATTTGTATAAATGTATATTTATATGTATATAAATATAGATGTAGATTAATGGAATTGGATATTTGAAGTTTTGTTAATTCAAATTGCTTGGTCTTGGGGCACGTGCCATGATGTATTCAAGGTAGGCAATGGAGTCTCCGGTGACTTTCAAGGAAGGGAGAAAATTTTAAATGTAGTCCTGCTGTTTGAACAAACATAACTACGTCGTCATTTAAAAAAAGAGAAAATATTACTCGTGGTCAGATGATAGTCTGGATGGGCCACCGTGCGGTACACAATGATGCGGTTGTATCGAGACCGTCGTCTGGACTTATGACTAGCTAGACTACATTTTGACTTTCACTTCACCGTGGTGATGTTGGGAGAAGAAGAAAAGGAAATGATTTATATGCATATCACCCAATTATTATGTATTGGCATATTTAGCACCTAGATTTTATTTTCTGCATATATGTTTCATTAAGTAGCTCTGTATGAAATGATGCATCACTTTTTGAGAGTTAGAATGATGATATTTTTTCTACTACAGTCTCATTCAATAATTGAAACTATTATGGTTGCTAACTATGATCTTTGTGATCGACTAGTGATATTACAACTTCCAACCATAATTTTTGTGACTTACTAATGCATATGCATCAACCAACTGTGGCGCCCTTTGTAATCGATTACTACTGTCACAGCTTCCAACTGTAATATCTTCGGTCAATTGTCACAATTGCAGCCACCAACAATAAGTTATAGCCCAATTGCGATTATTATAACTAAATTACAATTGTACATTTTTAATGTTAGCATTGTAATTAGATATTTTCTAATTCATGAGAATAGATGGGCTACGTACTTACAATAATATAGTATGTTACTTTGATTAAGCTAGACCCTATGGTTTCTTCCTGTTATAAAATATTTCACGAAAAAATCTTGTTATCCATTCCTGCAACTTTTCTATTAAATATGTTAGTGCTAGATATTCATGCAATGCTGAGATGTTAAATTATCACTCCGACGATGAATTAAAAAATAAAACAAATTAAATTTGTTATCATTTAATTTTTCAAATAAAGCTTAACACTTTAAACTAAATTTTTTAAATTTTGATAAAAATTAATAATTTTTTTAGCAAAACTCAAAATTCTATTTTAATATTATGAATTATATTTCATCAAATTTAAATATATGTTATAATTCAAACCATTATTAGCCAAATCCTTTTTATTTTAGTTTAGAAAAATATTTTGTATAATATACACAATAAAGCTCATTAAAATAAAAAATTCAAATGGAAAAACATAAATTACTTTTATAAATAAAAAAAATAAGTACCATCTATTTTTATAATTTGATATTCATTTATATAACATTTTAGTATTTTATTTTAAAATATTTCCATTGATGATGGTTTTTACGTCATACTAAAACTTTGAGTATTATATAAATAAATAATTAATTTCAAAAAGGAATTTTTGCATACATACCGCTCAATTTTTATTTATTTACATATCCAACATTCACATTATATTTTATTTTTACATTTATATTACCCAAATATTTTTTATAAGAAAAAAAATACCATCATTTAAAGTATAAGAAAAAAAAACGCATTTTCATGCATATAAAATTAAAATTTAAGGTCTGTTTGGGGCAGCTGCAACTTATGCTGATAAACAACTTATTCTGATAATTTGCTGATGAGTATATGATCCGGATAAGCTAACAGACTGTTTGGGTTGTCAGTTTGAAATACAGTTAATTATGGATAAATGACAAATCTGCCCCAGTTCTGGATAAACTGTTTAACTGTTTGGTTTGTGCATTTTGTAAAGAACTTATTTGCTTAATTGTAGATTTTTATGAAATAAATATGTTAATACAAGGTATTGAGTGGCATGCAAATTAATTTTTATTGATATTTACACTTATTATATATTGGTTTTATAAATATAAATATGAAAAGTAATATTTATTTCATAAAAAGATACATTTATAGGCGAAAATAAAATTTTAAATTATATAAATGTAAATATAAATGTTAGGTATACGACCTATAAATACATAAAAATTATATATATTATTGATAAATATATAAAACATTTGCATAAATCTTCTAAATATAATAATAAGCAAATCAAATTGACCTTTTCAAAGCTTGCTTGTAAATTTAATTAATTAATTTGCATAAATCTCAAAGTCCACAAATTCCCCGTCAACGAATTTACAACGAAGAATCCGAGAACCGTGAAATTCTTCTTCGAAACCCTAGACTCATGTTCTAGTCTTCGCCAATGGCGGAAGAGGAAGTCGACGGGAAGGGGCAACCGAGTCCTTCTCAGCTTCCTGTAAAATTATTATTTCCCTCTCTTACTTCGTCACTGTTTTCTCTCTCCCTCATTTGAAACATTTTTCTCAAAGTTGGTGTATTGCGATGAGATTACTACTTTGATTTTCTTCCTCTTCTTCTTCTTCCTGATTTTGTTGCATTTTTATGAAATCAATTGATTCTGAAGTGGTTTCTGTCTTTATATTGAATTTGTGGGTTAATTGGAAGAGCAGAGATACGGAATTAAGGGGTTGCGGAGGATTTAGGTTTACGTTGAGATTTAGGCGGGAGAAATGCAGAATCCAATCTCTTAATTTGTAATTTTTATGAGAAAATGAAGAATTTCTCTTTGATTTTTCTTCTAAGGGTTTTGAGATTTGATGGAATGTTTTTTGAAGTCTTTTTGGCTGCTTGGTTACAAGCAGGATATAATTCAAGTTTAAATCCAGATTTAAGGGGTGTTTGGTAGCACCATTTAAATAGGTCTTTTTATCGGGATTTGACAAATTTAGCTTAGGAAGAAACCACAATAAACTGATTTATGCCAAACACATCAAACAAATTTAATTGAATTTAAATTTAACCGAACCAAACACTATTCTGGATTTAAGAGCATATGGGTTTGATAATCTGGATTTACCGGATTTACTAAATCCTACTTAACTTAAACCTTGATTGCTGTAAATTCTTTTATAGTTGAATTCTTACTTTTATTTATGCTAAATCTAGTTAATTCCTAGTAAATTGTTTATCATATTTTGTTGGAAGATTTGCATACATAGCTCTTAAATCATATGCATTTACATGTCTAACACCTTAACTTTGATTTTTAGATTTACACACATACCTCTTAATTCATATGCATTTACATATCTAATACTTTAACTTTGATTTTTAACATATGTATGCCACCTTACATATGCATGCAAAGTTATATTCCACTTGTTAAAAATTTAATGCTGATATGAATGATTTGGGTGTTATAAATATAAAAGGCAAAGTTTGGGTTGTAGCTATATAAATTCCTACGAATTGGGAATGTATGTAAATGCCTTTTTTTTGTATTTCAGAATTATGTAAAGTAAAAGAAGAGGTACATTGAAGAGAAGTGGTACAAAGCTCTTAAATTCTACTTTCTTAGGATTTATTGAATCTGGTATTTAACTTAACAACAACAACAACAAAGCCTTAATCCCACTACGTGGGGTCGGCTACATGAATCATTTTTATCCACTGCGTCCTATTTAGTATCATATTTTCATTTAGTTATAGTAAATTAAGATCATTTTTCATACAACAAGCCCAAGTCTTCCTAGGTCTACCTCTGCCTTTCTTAACACAAGTCAAATCTAAAACATCTACTCTCCTAATCGGATCATCAGTTGGTCGACGTTTAATGTAACCAAATCATCTAAGACAACTTTCTCTAATTTTGTCCGTCACAGGAGCTACACCAACCCTATCACGGATATATTCATTTCACATTTTGTCTCTAAGTGCAAAGCCACTCATCCACCTAACCATTCTCATATCGACAACACTTAACTTATTATCATGCTTCTCTTTTAAAGGCCAACATTCAGCGCCATATAGCATTGCAGGTCTCACCACCGTCTTATAAAATTTTCCTTTCAGTCTAAGTTTTACTTTTCTATCACACAAAAAACACGAAGCATTCCTCCACTTCAACCAACCAACTTGAATTCTACTATTAACATCCCCATCGCTTTGAACAATGGACCCAAAATATCTAAATCGTTCACACCTTTTAATAATTTGATCACCCAAAGTCACACTTCTGTCACCAGAGCTATTACTACTAAAATTACATTCCATGTATTCAGTTTTAGTTCTACTTAAATGAAGGCCTTTAAACTCCAATGTAGATCCCCATAATTCAAGTTTTTCCTGGGCTTTTTCTTTCGTTTTATCCATGAGAAGAATATCATCAGCAAAAAACATCCCCCAAGGTACATCCTCCTGTAGATGTCCAGTAAGCCCATCCAAATGTAATTCAGTTTGGTATTTAACTTAAAACAAGAGAAAATTGAAATTTAGGTAGATTGTAATTTTTTTTTTTAATTTTATTTTTTAAGTAGATTGCAAAATTTATGTTGCTAAAATGTTATAGTAAAATTTTAGCTTTAATCCTAACAAAATCTTGCCTTAGTTTTGTAACCAAATAAAGTTTATTTCAGTGTTACTTAAAGAGACTTTTGTAAATCTATTTTATTGGTTTCCGATGTTTTAAAAATTGAATTGGACTGGTGTAGCCATGATGCAATTTTCTGGCTGATTCTATCCAATTCTAAAATTATTTTTGCTCGGAACTTTAGGTTGAACTGATGAATCAGTCTATTATATAAAAAATCATCTGGTTCTAATATTGATTTTTTTGGTTGCTTTATTTTGATTGGATTGCTAGAAATCAAAGATTTAGATCTAGCATATAAAAACTAATCCATATATCATGTTCCAAAATTTTAATGTAGACTATTTTTCAAAATTTATGTGGAGCGTTGCGTTCGGTAGTCGGCAACCAATGTAAAATTTTTATCGGAAAATCATGGCATAATGTGTAAATGTTAGGGTGTCCCCTGGAAGTGACGCGTAGTATGATTTGAATATAGTGAAAAGTGTACAAGGGCCGATACATTGACCCTCATATGTAGTGTCAAATAAACAAGAATTCTCACATTATGGACTGTTGCAAGCAAAAAAAGTAAGTCCATGAAATTAATATTAAGATAAAATTTTGGAATATAGGTACTCTCATAGGTAAATTAATCAAATTAGTAGATATCATGATTCATAGGAAGATAAATATCTTATGCATTCTATAGACTAAATAGGTTGGAGAAAATATTAGGGTGATTGATAGCTTAGGTTTTAAACTTTGGTATTCTGGTAGGAGTTGCACTAGAAACACTAGAAATGATGTAGGTGTAATGTAATTATAGATAAGACTCTCAAAGATAATGTTGTCAAAAATTAATAGAATTGGAGATAAAAATATAACCCTAATTTATATAGCCCTAAAGATTGTTGTTGGTACGAAGATTTTTAATGTTATAAGTGTTTATGCACCTCAAGTAGATTTAGATAAAGAAAAATTTTTGAAAGACCTAGAGAATTAATACAAATGATACCTGTTGAATAAATAATTTTTATTAGAGGAGATTTAAATTGACATGTTGGTAGAATGATAGAGGATTTTATAAATATTCATGGTGATTACAATTTTGGAGCGTTTAATAAAGAAGGTAGTACTATATTAGGTTTTGCTTTATCTTATGAGTTTATTATTGTTAATATTTTATTTAAGAAAAGGGATGAACATGTTATTTCTTATAAAAATAGATCTAATAAAACCCAAATTGATTATTTTCTTATGAAAAAAAGAGATCGTTGAAAATATAAAAATTGTAAGATCATTACAAGTGAAAATTTTAAGTATTCAATATCAATTATTAGTTTTGGATTTTAAGATAAAAAATTATAAGATAAAAAATACAATAAAATATTGTGATGGAATTAGATCAGGTCACTTAAAAGACACATTGTTTTTTTTATGAGTAAACTTCAATATTTCAATTTTTGGAATGTCATAAAGATACTAATTTTATGTGTAACAAACACTATTAAATAAGTGATAAAAGATGTACTTAAAGATTAAAAAAAATTTGTAAATAAAAATAATTGGTGAGAGAATAATTATGTGCAACAAAAAAATAAAATATAAGTTGTAGTATAAAATTTAGTTTAAATATAAGAGTTTAGAGAAATGGGAAAAATATTAGGTGACCTGTAGGGAATCTAAAAGAATAATTTGTGTCGCTAAGAATTCTGCTTATAGTGGACTTATTATATATTAAAGATGATGAAGAATATATTTATAAACTAGCAAAACAAAGATAAAAAAAAAGTAGAAATTTAATTCAAATAAAGTGTATTAAAGATAAATTCAAAAAGTGTTTTTCTTGTAGAAATATATTCAATATAGGTGGGTGAGCTATTTTAATAAACTTTTTAATGAAGTTTTCAAAAATACGATCGACTTTAATGATCTTAGCATCGTTAATAATAATAAAATTTTTTATTTTTTCCGCTGCATTAGTATAAAGGAAGTTGAGGAGGCTTTAATGAAAACCAGGGTGGAAAATCAGTAGGACTTTATGATATTCCTATTGAAGTGTGAAAATATTTAGGAGATTTGAGAACTTCTTGGCTTAACAAACTCTTTAATATTATTTTAAAAACTAAAAAGCTGCCCGAGGAGTGGAGAAAAAGTATTTTGGTCTCTATTTTTAAGAATAAAGGGGATGCACAAAAGTGCACAAATTTAGAGGAATTAAGTTAATGCGTCATACTTCAAAATTATGAGTGAGAGTAATTGATTATGAGTTAAGACGTGATATAAATATTTTTCATAATTAGTTTGAATTTATGTCAACAAGTCTACCATGAAACTATACATTTATTGAGAGATTTGACGGAGAAGTACAAAGAGTAGGAAAGATCTACGTATGATTTTTATTGATTTAGAAAAAAATGTATAATATTTGTGTTAGGGCAGCTCCCGTGACGGACAAAATTAGAGAAAGTCTTCTTAGATGGTTTGGTCACATTAAACGTCGACCATCTGATGATCCGATTAGGAGAGTTGATGTTTTAGATTCGACTTATGTTAAGAAGGCAGAGGTAGACTTAGGAAGACTTGGGCTTTTTGTATAAAAAATGATCTTAATTTATTAGAACTAAATGAAAATATGACACTAAATATGACACAATGGAAAAAAAGGATTCATGTAGTCGACCCCACGTAGTGGGATTAAGGCTTTGTTGCTGTTATAGAAAAATATGTACAATAAGGTTCCAAGAGTAGTTCTCTGGAGAGTTCTAGAAAAGAAATATGTGACTATGACTTATATTCAAGTCATTAAAGATATGTATACTAGAGTTGTTAGTTGTCTTCGAACAGGAGGATGGACCAAGTATTTTCTTATGTCAGTTGGATTACACCAAGGACCGACTTTAAGCCCATATTTTGTTTATTTATGGATGCTCTTGCTGGACATACACAGGAGGATGTACCTTTGTGTATGTCTTTTTCGATGATATCCTTCTTGTTGATAAGCTAAAGGAGTTCAAGAAAAACTTGAATTATGGAGGTCTACATTGGAGTTTAAAGACCTTTGTTTGAGTAGATCTAAATCTGAATACATTGACTATAATTTTAGTAGTGGTAGTTATAATGACAGAGCTATAACTATGGGTGATTAAATCATTAAAATGTACGAACGTTTTAATATCTTGGCTCTATTATTCAAAGTGATGGTGATAATATATGGGGATGTTATTAGTAGAATTCAGGTTGGTTGGTTGAAGTGGAGGAATGCATCAAGCCTATTGTATGATAAAAAAATATCGCTTATACTTAAAAGAAAAATTTTATAAGATGATGGTGAGGCGCGCAATGCTTTATGGGGCATATTATTGGCCTTTAAAAGTGAAGCATAAAACAAAATTAAGTGTTGTTGAGATTATATGGCTTAGGTGGATAAGTGGCTTGGCACGTAGAGACAAAATGTGAAACGAATCTATCCGTGAAAGAGTTGGTGTAGCTCCAGTTGCATACAAGATTAGAGAGAGTCGTCCTAGATGGTTTGGTCACATTAAACGTCAACCATCTGATGATCTGATTAGGAGAGTAGATGTTTTAGATTCGACTTATGTTAAGAAAGGCAGGGGTAAACCTAAAAAAACTTAGACATATTATATAAAAATGTTCTTAATCTATTATAATTAAATGAAAATATGACACTCAAGAGGACCCGACGGACAAAAGGGATTCATGTAACCAACCCTACTTAGTGGGATAAAGGCTTGTTGTTGTTGTTTTCAAAAAGTATTAAGAGCTGAATTTCATAAATTTAAATATTGTATATAGAATTGATGAAATATCAGTACTGCATCATTATTTTTCCATTTAAATCATATTAAATAAAATTTAATACTCATTATGTCATCCAGTTCAACTCCGTTGAACCCTAAACCATGAACTTTTCATTATCCTAAATCCTTAGTCTCCAGTAGAAAAATCTATGTAGGCAAAATTATGGAAGATCATAATTCTTATGTATTTGCTTATCTAACACCTAAACTTCAATTTTTTACCTGTGCATGAAAATGTATATTTCACAATTTAAAAGTTAAAATGGTGGTATTTTTTACGTGATATGAAAAATTTGGGCATTATAAATGTAACAAGCATTGTTTAGGTGTCAAATAGATATGTAAATACATAGGAATTTCATGGTATTTATATAAATGCCTCTGAAGTTATTCTTTTTTCTCCCATGCTAGTTTCTTGAAGTACTATGCAAGAGCTGCGGTAAAGTTCGCCGCTTTGCGAGCGGGACCGAAGCCGGCTTTGCAGTGTGCTTGATAAATAGTAAGCTAAGTTTTGAAGCTCCACCAGCTCTGTACATTGAAGCTGCTAAAGATGGGGAAGAATCTATCTGTTTTGGCCCCAAAGCAGCTCTATTCAATTATGGTGAAGGTTGGAAATTGCAGACAGTTATTGAAGAAGGTAACTTCCTTTTGATTTTTTTTTTTTTTGGAAGATTTACTGGAAGATTTACATACATACCACATACATACCACCCAATTCTTATCTATCTACATATCCAACACCCAAAATTTAATTTCTACGTTTATACCACCCATCCTATTCCTGAAATAGTGTATTTCAGCTTTTGAAAGCCGACATAGCTGTATTTTTTATGCGTTATGGAAGATTTGGGTGGTAAACGTATGTTAAGTTTAAGTGTTAGATACGTAAATTCATAGGAATTGGTGGGTATGTATGCAAATGCCCCATTATATTTTCAGTTTCTTTCTTTACTATATTATCTTGGGAATTAAATGGATTAATTGGAGTTCCATGGCAGCCATGAAAGAAGGCTATGAAGCAGCAGCATCCCAGAAGATACCAAAGCAAATTTCAAGCATGATGGTATGTATTATATCATGCATTTCAATGAATTATATTGGTAGTTCTTTCCAATTAAAGCTTTTTTGCATTTCTTTGTGGGGGGGGACATTTACATACATAACATGTAATCCTTAATTCCTTATGTGTTTACATTTCTAGCACCTAAACTGTGCTTGTTACATTTTTACCTCCCAAATCTTTAATATCACATAAAAAATACCACTATTTTAACATTTTGAAAGTGAAATACACCATTTCAATCATAGATAAGGTGGCATGCACCTAAAAACTAAAATTTAGGCGTTTGTTAGATGTGTAAATACATAGGAATTGAGTGGTATATATATGTGAATCTTCATTTTCTCTATTTCATAGTCTGAAATCAATGTTTTATAATCTATTAATCCGATATTCTGCGTACATTATTAGGGTTCTAAGCGAACTATCTCGCTAAATGAGCTACTTGATGCCGATGCATGCAAGGCGCATATATGTTTGTTATGTAAGAAGGCGAATTAAGTTTGGCTGAAAGTTTAAAGCTCTATATCTAAATGAGTTTGTTTGATCATTGGCTTGTTTGTTCATCTATGTTCGCGAATATTTTCGTTTGTTGTTCGAGCGGTAGTTTGCTAAAATGTTTCGATAAAATGCTCATTTAATGACGACATGTTTACCTTATGATGATTTATTAGAAGTGAAATGCACATTTTCATGCATATGCTTATTACAAGAGATAGATATAAACATAAATATCAAACTTTAGCTGTTAGATGTGTAAATACATATGAATCGTGTGACGTGCATGTAAATTTCCCAATAACTAATTAAAAAAGTGATTTGCTTGGCCTCAAAAAACAAACTAAGAAGTGAGTTTTAACAACATATTGCATAGTTTGATTTGATTCATTTGCAACAAGAAAGCTTTTAAATATTGGTGGATTAATTTGTAAATGAGTAAAGTGCCAAAATAGTGTCATTTTAGTCCCAACATCTATAAAAATTCTAAATTTGTCCTTGGACTATTTTAATGGGGGTCAAATGTTGGGACTATTTTAACCCATATTAAAAGATTGTTGACTTAATTGACATTTTTATGAAATTTTCTCATTATTGTTGTTATTATTCATATTTTTTTCCTTCTAAAAGAAATTTACATACATACCACACAATTCTGATGTATTTACATATCTAGCACTTAAAGTTTAATATTCGCATTTATAGCACATTGGTGCTATAGTGATATTTTTAATGCAATATCAAAGATTTGAGTTCTAAGCATGTAAATATGAAACTTTTCGGTGTTAGATTTGTAATATATAAGAACCGTGTGGTATTTATGTAAATACTCTTTTTTTCTTAAATGACGTGAGTTAAATTGGTTATAGGAAGATTTACATACATCCCACTCAATTCTTAAGTATTTACATATCCAACACCTAAACCAACACCTAAACTTCAATTTTTAACTTCAATTTTTACATATATGCCACTCATCCCATGCGTGATATTTTTGATTTGATATAAAAGATTTCAGGTGATATAAATGTAAAAAATCAAAGTTTAGGTGTCAAAAATGTAAATACACAAGAAAGGGGTGGTATGTATGTAAATTCCCCTTGGTTGCAGCAGAAACCATCTGAAAGCAGGTATTATATTGGGAAGCCAGCTGCTGGAACCGATCCCACAACCGGATTTCAATATTTTGTGAAGATACTGATTGCTTTTGCTTTAATGTTCGTGCTCGGAGGAGCTCTGGTTGTCTTTCTGGAAAATCTTCCATGGTTGATACAGCTTGTAAGCTCTTTTTAGATGCAATTCTATTTGTTTTTTGGGTTTTACAGTAAATATTTGTTATGTAGTGGATTTAATTAAACGACTTTGGTAAATTTGAGATTATTTATCTTGTTTGGATCGGTGTGAAAGAATGCTTTCTTTCCTAATTGTTTTGATTAGGGGTGTAAACCAGCCGAATACAATTCGGCTGGTTTATATTTCGAGCTAAAAAAGTGTGTTCGTGTTCGGCTCCCCTGGTTTGTCGGCCCAACACGAGTTGTTCACGAACAAATAGTCATTTTGACAACCCTAATCACGTAGCTATAAGATGTTAAGGATTGAGAAAAGACTTAAAACATCATTTGAATCTAAATTAATAATTTTTATTCTATTTTCTTCAGTAATACTTTTAATTGATTATAAATCTTTGTAGCCTTGTAGTCAATTAATTTTTTTTTTAAAAATACTACTCATCATATATATATATATATATATATATATTTGTTTAGTAGTATTACGAGCCAAAACGAGCTGAACACGAATGAACAAATATTTGTTTGTGTTGGTTGGGTTCGGCTCGGTTACCTAACTTAGCGAACGAGCCGAACACGAGCTGTTCATGAACAACGAGCCGTTTTGACAGCCCTAGCTTTGATCACAGGAGAAAAGTTTTTACAGAATGGAAATTATTATATTGTTTGTTTACATTTGCAATACTTGGATTATATAAAGAAAAATTAGTATTAAATAAAAATTAGGGGCATTTACATACATGCCACACAATTCTTATGTATTTACATATCTGATACCTACACATTCATATTTACGTTCGTACCACTCAAATGTTTAGCATCACATCAAAAATATCATCACTAATTTTTAACAGTAAGTTTATGACATGAAAGTGTTGTGAGTGTAGTTATCAAACTTTGGGTGTTAAATATGTAAATAAATAAATAGTTTGTGGTGTATATGTAAATTTTCTTAAATACAAATTATGGGCATTTACACACATGCCACCAAGTTTCCTTGTATTTACCTATCTAACATTTAAACTCTATTTTTTATATTTATATCACCCAAATCTTTCACATTACTTAAAAATATCACTATTTTAACTTTTAAAAATTAAAATGCGCACGGCACACACACCTAAGTTGACGTTTAGGTGTTCAATATGCAAATGAATAAGAATCAAGTGGTATGTATGTAAATCTTTAAGTTGAAATACATTAAAAAAACTATTTATAATAAATATAATATGTAAATTTGATATTTATTTTTTTTCTTAAAATTTAAAATGATTATAATTGACCAAAAAATAATTTGTTTTATATAATAGTTCTATAAATATTTTAGGAATATTTGCAAATGTACCAAATTGACTCTAAGTGAAGTTTGTATGTGAGGATTAAAAGGAAATTTAAATTTGTTTGTTCATGTTCGGCTCGTTTTGACTTGAAATACTAATTATCAAAATAAATAAATAAATAAATAAATATATATATATATATTCAAACAGATAGATCGATAAATAATATATTTTTTTAATTTAATTAGCTACAAGGTTACAGAGAGTTATAATCAATTAAAAGTTTTAATTAAGAAAATAGAATAAAAATTATTAAATTATATTTAAAATATGTTTTAATATAAAAAATAATTTTTAAATCTTGTCTCAATGCTTAATATTTTATGGATACATGATCAAGGACTCTTTGTTCGTAAATATCTCGTGTTCGACTCGCTAAGTGAACACGAACACACTTTTAAACTCAAAATATTACACCCCTAATTTTTAAAAGTAGGTTTTAAATAAATAAAAAAAAGCTTTCAAATAAACAGTTTAACGAGAATAATAACGGACTGAACGACGAAAGCTTGTCGATTCTCTCCAACACCATGTCCTCCTCGCTGCTCCCATGGAAGTGGGCAATCGAAGCCCTAGCCGACATTCCTGATGTATCCACCTCCGTTCTGAGCGGTACCGCTTTACATAACCTTTCCCTATCCTCTCGATTCTTCTGTATTTACTGGCTATGACATTGTTCGGATTCTTGACAGCTTTGGCCGCTAGGGTTCCGGAAGTGATCGCCGATCCTTCCGGCTCCGTAAGAGAGAGGCTTGCTCTGAGATACCTCGAGGAGTGCTCGGGTATGGCTTGTGGGGAGACGCCGCCGGCTGTGGCCACCAATGCTCCTTCGATGTCGGCTTCTGCAAGGAAGATTGATGCGGCCCTAACGTGCGAGGAGGTTCTGATGTCTAAAGTATGTTTTTTTTCCCTTTCTTATTGGTTATTTTTGTTTTTTTTCAATTTGTTTGAACAAATTTAGTGCTGCTTTTTCTTTTTTTTTTTTGTTACAAGTTTTTGCTTTGATGCTTATTTTTAAAGAAAGATGGCATTTTTAATTTGTTTGAAGTAACTGCGTACTTATTTATCGAAAAAGTTACTGGTTTGGTTCGTTCATCAAAGAAGCAAAACGAGAAAGGAGTTTGGGAAACAAGGAGTGGTGAAATGAAGAAGATTTACTGAAGAAAATTTGGCTATTTTTAGGGCCTCAATTTCTTTATGCTTCAAGAATGTGGTTGGGAAACTGCATTCAAGATCATTTATGGACGAAATATTTCATATAACCTGAACCCTTAAAAAGAATGATTTGCTGTTTTGGTGGGAATGCTTTTGTTGGAAGTGGGGATTGGTTTATGTACAATTATTTGGTCCATGAAAGGCTTATCTAAGTCCATACCAGACTTTTATCTTTTAAGTGTGAGTATCCTACTCCTCTAAGAAATGATGATGCTGCTGCGACTTCTGGTAGTTTTGTTGTAGAACTGATGTAATTGGGCAAATGGCGGTGATAGAGTCTAGGTTGCCTCCGAAGTTGTTCATTGTAATGACTAGAGGGGAGGTAAAGCTTTTAATATGGTCACTAAATGTGCTAAATGGGGTGTCAAGTCATTTTTCATTATGGTTTATTGAATGTAGTATAGGATGGGTTGTTTTATGATGTAAGTTGATACATTTTTTTAAACCAGACAAACAAAGAGATGCCATGGCTAAGCTATTATTTTAAGCTTATTTTATATTAACATTTGTTTAAATGAGTTGACTCACAAGCTAACAAGTTCATCGGGGCTGATCCAAGCTTAGCTTATCAACTCATCCACCTTAGCTCGCATGTCATTTATTGAGCTGAGCACCAGCATGCTAATTAGCTCAGTTAGCCTCACACCAGAGTAGGGTTGTTTTAAATAATTAGTTCGATTTAGGCCAACTTGGAAGGTCTCTGATTTTTATTTAGGAATTTTTTTATCTCAATCATTATATTGTCATAACTTTGTGCTGAATAGATTCATCTCAATTATTCAAATTTTTTGGCATCGTTTTCTGCACATTTTATGCTCAATATTTTTTTTAAACAAATTGAGAAGCTGTTAATTTTTTTAAATTCATATTTCACATAAACTATTATGGTTTATTTGGAGATTTTTTTTATTTGTATTATGCTTGGGAAGTGGAGCTGTGGGATTTGTAATTTTTTTTCTGCCTTAATTAGTCTCGTTCGTTAGGCTTTATTCATAAAATTTTGGTAGAGGCACAAATTGATTCTGTTTTGTGTGCGCTATGGTTTTAATGACTTTGATGCGTAATTGAGCCGGGGGATTTAAAATTAAAGCTGATGCGATTGTATTGAAAATTTAAAGCAAATAATTAGATACTAATTTGAATTTAATGTGTGATTGATTTTGTGCCAATTTTGTAGACTAACCAAGGTTACAAGGTGCCTATAAATAGTTGTTTTGAGGCCTGTGATTTTCAACCTTTTACTTAATAATTTTTTTTTTTTCAGTTTTTCTTGTTGTGAGTGCATGTTGGATGTATGGACCTTTCAAGCATAGTAAAATTGCGACAATGTGATTTAAGGAGAAGTCATAGTTTTTGTTGGATTGAGGCCTAATTTTCTCCATTTTGATAAATTAATTTTTTACTTATTTTTTCTTAGTAATTTGTTACTAGATTGTTTATTAGGGTCTTTTAAGATGGTTGCAGTTGTTTGTAATTGTTATGCAAAAATTAACTTTTTTTTTAAGCTACTGTGAGTATTTTAAATATATTTTCTTTTTGAAAGAAAATTAAATAAAAATTTTCTTATAGCTATCACACTTTAGTAGATTTGATTGAAGGTTGATTCTAATCGCATAAAAGGTCGCTTCTAGGGTAGTCTCACTTGTTCACATTGTAAATAAAGTGAGTTATTTGCTTGATTAATAATATATTGTGAATTCTTAACTTGTCTTTGCTTGAAATCATACTAAACATCATTTTAGTTGCATTAGAAGACTTTATCCCTGAATTGCTTTTATCAATGAGAGGGAGGTAGAATAAGAGTTTCATAATTGGAGAACGAGTTGAATTCACCTCATTTTTCCTTTAAACTCTCATAAATTATATTCCATTGCCATAGCAGGAGTAACTTTGATAGAGACCTTTTTTTAGGGTTTGTTTAAGTTGGTCGTAGCTTTTTGTAATGATGATTGTGAAGAAGTCCTGAAAAAATCAACCTTAGTAAATATTTTTTTTCCAAAAATGTTAAACAACATCTTGCTTATAACTATCACCCTTTAGTAGATCTTGTTGTAAAGAATAGCCTTTAACTATCAAATTACTAGAATGTGGTGAGAAAACAGTACTCAAACATAACTATGATGACAGTATGAAAATCAACGCAGTGAGAAATCCACCCATGCAGACTTTTAATTTTATTTGTTTCCAAATTTTTCCTAAAATTCTTAAACTTGTGTGAGCATTTTATTATCAATTGAGCTTATAGATAGGGGTGTAAACGAGCCGAACACGAGC